GCCTGCAGGTCCTGAAGGCTGCAATCTCTTCATCTACCATCTCCCTCAGGAGTTTGGAGACAATGAGTTGATGCAGATGTTCCTGCCCTTCGGCAATATCATTTCCTCCAAGGTGTTCATGGATCGTGCCACAAACCAGAGCAAGTGTTTTGGTGAGTGCTGACACCAGTGGGCAAGGGAAGCATAGTGGATAACAAGAACATTCATGTATTGGGCATGGCACCAACAGGGCCGTTATTATCCATGCCTGTGTCCTGTTCTTCAGGTTTTGTAAGCTTTGACAACCCATCCAGTGCACAGACTGCTATCCAGGCCATGAATGGCTTCCAGATTGGCATGAAACGTTTGAAGGTCCAGTTAAAACGACCCAAGGATGCTAACCATCCCTACTGACAGCAGTGAGCAAGCAAGAGTCACTTCTGCAGCACAGGTAAAGCTGGCACCATCACAGCACAGTGTCTACACAAGGTCTGGCTGCTCCCTGCAGGGTGGGAAGCCAGGAGCTGAACACAGTAACACGGATAGCAGGGCAGAGCCTTGCCAGGCAGGGCCCAGCCCCAGCACCCGAGCAAGGCGACCAAGGCGGGCCTGGAGATGATGGCTAGGTTCAATCAAGAGTCTAGATCATCAGGCAAGTTTAGGGCAATGAGGCAGGCCCAAGGCCAAGCCAGAGAGTCAATCCGCAGGTCAAGATCAGAATCAGTTCTGGTGAAGGTAAACAGGGCCAGACACAGTCCAATGTTTCCCAGGCAGGTCTATAAAATCACCAGCCCGTAGTCTAAGAAAGGTTTCAGTCTGCTTTCTGACTGCACCAAAACAGTGTTTATCTTCCTAAAAAGGTTTAAAAACCCAATAGTTTTGTTTTCATTTGTTACATGTGCCCTGAAATTAGTCTGCAGAGAATGCTTTCCAGGGTAAGAAGGGAGAATCCCATGATTCACAAAGATCACAGAAAACCAGAGAAAAGGTGAGACTCTGGAGGGCCACCAAAGAGCTGCCTGACCTGAGAGCTGGCTGTCAAAGAGCGAGCTCCTACCAGCCAACAGATGGGGAAGAAGGGAGGGCTGGCTGATCTTGGTCCCTTCTAATTGGGGTCATCTTTCTCCACATTTAAGCAACAGCAACTCAAAGCTTGAGGTTTGATGTCCTCCTAATCTCCCAATTCCCTCCCTCCTCCCTTTCTATTCAGGTGAAGGGAAAGTCCAGAGGAAGAATTTCTGCTTCAGGCTGATTTACAGAGAGGCCAGTAAATTTATCAACTCTTGACACAACCCCTTTCCTTTCTCTGCTTCCCACCTACCTACCCCATCCTCTTTCTGCCCTTCTCCCCAAAACATGCAATTAAAGAGAAGGCCAGCAGGAAGATTCTTGCCACAACGGACTTGCATATTTGCTGCTGATGTGGTGCATAGCAAAGGGACCAGAAAACCAGCAGCCCCTGGGGACCCAAAGCTCTTCTTCTCGGGGTATGCCTGGAGTACATGGACGAAGAAAACCTAATGGTGTGTCTCTAGGTACTGCAGTGATGTATGGAAACTTAGCTCCGTCCCTCCCTCCTGCCCCGTCTCCTGGCCCTTTCATAGATAAATATAAATATATATATATACAGTCTCTATTTTTTTTTAAAGTGGCTCACAGGACCAAATTTTTCCATTCAGAGACTGACTCCTTGCAAGAGGGATTGAAAGTTAAGGGTTTACCTTTGCAACAGTGTCTTCTCAGCAAGCACTGCAGATAGGCCTGATCATTTTGAGAGGATGATTGGATGGACAGAGAGCAAGAGAGACAGAGCACATCTCTCTGCTCAACTTTAGCAAGAAGCAAGGAGAAAGAGAACTACATACCTCCAGGATTAGGGCACAGCCAGCTGCTCAGCTCAAGTCACTCATCCACCGACCTTAGCACCAGCCTGGTTAAGGATCTCAAGAGCTCTCAGTCTTATCTTTCCAAGGGCTTCTGCAGACAAAGCTCCTGGAATTTGGTGCCAAAGCCTATCCTGAGCACCCCTCGATTAGGCTGAAAGCACAGGAAACTAGTCCCTTTACCTACAGGAACCGTACTGGAACACGTAGCACAGATCTGTATTTCATAGCTCTCCATGGTAACAGCATTTTCTTGACCAAGGTAAGAGAAGATGAGAGAGTGCCGAGCAGATGCAATCTCCAAAACAGAATGACAGAAGCCTCCCAGGGGCTACAGACTGCCTCCCCACATCGGAAATAACCTAATGCTGGTTAGCAGGCAGTTCTGATTCCCAAATGAAATGGGACATTTTCTCCATCTGCATCTAGCAAGAGAACTCACCTCTTACACCCTCTGCAAAGCTTTCCCAAGCAGACACAAGGATAGTGTGACGAAAGAGGGTTGCCATTCTGGTTTTCTCCCCACCACTCCCTCCAAGGAACAGTTTATACGTTATGCAGCATGCATAGGTACAACTATATACAGCTATGTTTAAGCACAGAACACAGTTCAGAGCTTAACAAAGATCCCCTGGGGGTGGGGTTGTGTGTGATACTGACAAGGCATATCCATTTAACAACTTGAAACTGTCTCTTGAAGTTTCTGCCAAAATAAGGAAAGAAAAACAAACCAAACAGGACAAGAACTAACCCCACAAGCCTTCTGAATGATTAGTTTCAATATTCCAGAGTTTGATAAGACACCAAGAACATTCCCCTCTCTATTTGTGTGTGCGCGCGCATGCGCGCGTTCAAACACGAACAGAGGGTTGGTGGAGATGGGTTGATGCAATTGATGCTGAAGTAGGATATGGGGACTTCAGAGAACCTCAGCCAATTCTCATCCTCCTCCAATTTCCCTTTGTTCAGATGTTCATGGCACAGTTCTCTTAAGTACTTGCACATCGCCTCAACCACCCCTCTGTATCTGATGCTGAGAGTTTATGAGAGATGGATGAAGCTGTGTGAGTCTGTGTGTTTCTATAGTCCATGTTTACGTATTGTAAATATCATTTTTATACTTAACATCTATTATGTATGTGATTTGTATAATGTACTTTATTTCTGCTACAAGTAATTTCATGAAGTTTAGACTTAATCTAATTTTGAACAAAAAAAAAAACACAAAAAAACCCTAACAAATGCAAAATGGGAAAAAAAAAAAAAGGACTGGAAATTCTACGTCAAGCTGGTTTAAAACAAGCATTTACAGTTTCTTCCATCACAGTTACTGATGTGACTGTACAGGTGCGATACAAGCTTCGTCAATGTCAAATTCCTCACTCTGGTAAAAAAAAAAATAATTATTTAATAAAAGTTTTACTTGCTAAGTAGCCGGGGATTTACTTCATGTGTTAGTTGCACCTGCTTTAAAGATAATGCTTACACTTGAAGACAATCACCATAGGCCTAAGGTGAGGAAAGTCTGTTTCCATTCAGCAAATCATCTGTTCAGTCAGTTAAAAAGCATTTCACAGAGGGATGGATGACAGAGCCCGAGTTCTACAGAATAGAACCGTGCCTTATTCGGAACGCCACACAGTGTCCCTGTCTCTGAGAAGGCTGGCTGTGGATTTTTATTCCAGTCTTCAGCATGTGATCCCCAAAATGCAAGTTTGTTATATTATCCCAATTGCAACAAATGAGTTCAGCAGCCAAGCTCCAGCAGAGCTAACCACAAACCAGTCACAGCTCTTGTGTGCAGGTACCAGACATCTTTTTTAAGAAGTCCGGTGTATTCTGCTCACACCCAAGAGAACAAAACTAGTTCTGTCATCAGCACCTTAATGGAAATCAACCACTCAATCAGTCGAGAACCAGCACCCAGCCCATCTGACGCTATGCACGGAACCAGGGAAAGCAAATGCACAGGTACCTCATCTCAGCCCTGAAGGTGAGGAACGTGTATGGCATTGGTAGCAAACCAACTCCATCTGCCATGCCCATGGTTCAGTTCCCCTTCTAAAATACCAGTTTCCCAGGGCCCTTCTGCTTTGAACCCGCTATTTAATGGTGCTGGAGAAGAGCAGAATATGAGCAGAGAATGCAATCCTTGCCTCTGCACCAACACAGTTGTGCAGTGACCGAGTCAAGGTGTGTCCTGCAAACTGTCATGAGAAGCAAGCAGGTGTCTGTTTTAGAAGGGCAAGTTCAAACAGCAGAGTTGTTTCCACACAGCTCTGTAGAAAACTTTGTCGTGTCAAAATCCAGTCAATGGCAAGGACAGGAAGGAGAACACTCTGTTCCTATGATGTGAATAAAGTGTACTTGAGACTAAAAGTGCCACACACTATTCCTGGTAACAAGAATAAGAACTCAAGCTGCAGTACCATCTCTTGCAGGCACAGAAGTTTTTATATTTAGCTCGGAACAGGAGAGCACTTAGTCTAGCACTTAGCTGTCAACCGAGCAAAGGAGGGGGGCCATGCAGTGACCTTTTCCCAGGAAGCCACCTCTCAGCAGCTAGAGTGTACCCCTCAACTTGCTTTTCTTCTCCCTGGAGAAGACCAGCTATTATTGAAGAAAGACTATGATTGGCAAGGCTCTGTGCACTCCATTCTAGTTCTATATCCCCTAGATAAGCCTGGTTTTTAAGCAATACCTGGCTGTTCCAATGAATTCCAAATCTGCTAACCAGTTTCTATAAAATGTTCAGCTTTCAAAGCATCTTAAAATTCCTTCAGGATTCATGCATTGTGGACAGCAACACCACACAAAATAACCATCCTCTCTGACACCAAGGAGCCCACATAGGATCTTTTATCCATCCCAGCTCAGGAAGATTCAAGCAGAGACTGCTTTCTCTTAGCTGCTAGAACTTACAAGTCATGACACATATCCATAGGAATAATGTTAGGGAAGAATTCCCTCTTCCTTCAATGCAGGAATTGTCAACCCATCTTGGCATTTGCAGCAAGGAAGAGCTGATTTAACAGGTCTTGTGCAGTCAGCAAATGTCTGCCAACAGGCCTGTGCACACACAAACCAGGTCACCAGCCTTCCTTCACAGAGAATGCATCAACATGTAACGCTAAGACATTTAGAAAAAAAAAAAGTTTAATAGAGATTAAAATTCTATGTATAGGAAGCAAGAAGGTTCACAGAATCCACAAAACAATGAAGCAGTGGAGCAGGATGTCCCAGAAATGGTCAGACATTTCAGGACATCCTGGACAGATAGAGGTTAAAGCCGGGACTGAGAGAAGACTGGAGGCAGTAAAAGCAGACAGATGAGGCTGAAGGCGGAGAGATGGGAAGAGGGCTAAGACAGAGTGAACAGTGGGAAAGGTCTGACTGATGGGTAGAAATATGAGAACTGTGGCTGAAGCAGGATGAGAGGAAGACCAAAAAGAGTCTTATGAAAAGAGCTCAGGTTACTTTGCTACCACCGCTACCTTGCTCCTGCTTGACACCAATGGTTGAATGGGATGCTTAGTGGGACAGGGGAATGTGATTAAAAAGGACATGGGATGGGAGAGAAGACTGCAACTAGGCATCCCTCAAGGACTGCTGTAGTTGTAGTAACTCTGTAAAACCTGGTCCCGGTTATAGGGGAACAAAACCCAGAGACGGCACACGTGCTGTAGCCACCATGGGTAGAAAACCTCCTGCAGCCGCATGGCACCCCCTTGGATAATGGCAAGTGCAGCTTCAGGAGCAGGAGAAGCAGTTAGGTACACTTTGCCCCTGGAAGGAAACAGCCAAAGGATCACTTAAAGCCGTGCAGACTGACCACCGCAGGGTTCTGCGTGCTCATGTTCCATGCTGAGGTGAACATGCACAACCCCCTTGATGTATCCAAGCTGATGCATTCTTGCCATTAGTTTTCCCGCACATCCGAACAGATGCTCACACCATCTTAAACACAGATGTAGTGCATTTTTTGCATGCTTTCAAGAGACTCTCCCTCCCAGACTGCTACATCCTCTTCCAAATACACACCTGGTATTCTCTAATGCTGTATCAGTATCAATCAAGCCCAGGATGCACAGTGTGACAGAGACGGTTCTCTTCTGCATGATGAGTTCATGGCGCAGTGAGCTGAAGAATCCATCCAGTGCAAACTTGGTGGCGGAATATGAAGTGGTGAAGGGAGTGGGTATTTTCCCTGGAAAGGAAAAGGAGAGAATGGAAAACACCAGGAACGTGGCTGTAAGGGGGATAGTACCGTTGAGAAAGAATCTGGGCAAAGACAGAAGCTTTGCCATCCTACATCAACCCATGTTCTGTTCAGGTGACTTTCCCTCTATTTCTAGTTACATGCAGACACTTTAGAAAATTACACCACTTTATGTGAGCACATCCCAGCACAAAAGCCACCACATATGTGGATAAGAGGACAAAACTTGACCTATACAGTAACCAGGTCACATACTGGGCTTGAAAGCCCAGTGTGACGGTCTACCTGCAGCCTACCAGGCAGGGATGAGCCGTAGTCTGAACTTGTGTATGGTGACACAGGTCCCTTGAGCACACACTGAAGACTTTCTTCTGCCTTTCCATCCTGTATGGTAGGTGCAGCTAGTCAACAGCCTGCTATTCAGGCTGCTCAAAGACAGAAAGTCTTAATGTGGCAAGATGGTCTTAATGCTGTGTCAGAAATTGAGGAGAGATGGGCTTAGCTGTGAGGGACAGGAACCAAACAAGCAGATCTGGGTACACTGTGAGTGAAGAGCAAGATTCAAGGTATAATGTAAATGTAAAATGCAATGTAAAATGGTGCAACGTAGAGAAGGCATTCCAGAAGACAAGAAGGCCAGACCATCCTGCTTGCTACTATAAAACACACATCTTGAAAACATTTTGAGGAGTTGAAGGACACAGAGAAACATGATGTGCTGGGAACCATTGTTTACACAAGGCCAGCACTTATGCCAGTTAAAGACTTCTCCCCTCGCTAACCTGTGAGGGAAGAAACAACCACCAGAGAGCCTTTATTCTTCTCCAGGGTGGGAAGAGCTGCTGTTGCAAGTGTCACATAACTGAAGAAATTCACCTGCAATGATAAAAGTAGACATGAAGAAGCAGAGGGTTTGGAGGGAAGGTCAGCATGAGCTAGAAACCCAATACAGTGGTCAGGAATGGAAAGGAGCATGGCTTGGATTTGCTTTTTCAAACAGCAAGTGAAAAGAATCATCTGTGTGAGGATGGGGACAAACATTGCATCCATGAGTCCTTCAGATTCCAGAAAAAGCACTGGAGAAGAGTCAGAGCCAAGATTATTCCTGGACTTTAACATATAGATTTATTGACAAGAGACAATTAGCTGTCCCTGATTTCTCTATATGCCATTTTTTACTCTGCAATTCCTATCCAGCAACAAGAACAACAGTAGTGTCTCAATTTGGTCCTCTTTTAAATTTGTCTTGACCGAACTCAGACTACACTGCAACACTACAACAGCATCTCTGCTGAGCTTGACTGCTCAGAAATAGCAGGAAATAGATTAGCAGGAAATGCTTGCTCCTCACCTCTTGGCCTTCCTAAACTAGACATACATTGCACAACTGCTCGTAACTACCCATCAATCCCTAACAATCCTGTGCTAATGGGAGATAAGAAGGAGAGAAGTGAAGATCTTCCCAGACATTCCTCTACACACATATACAAAAACTGAGCAAAATACCTGTCTAGTAACAAAGCTTCCAAATCATTTGACTTGAAACATGAACGAAATAAAAGGTTTGTTCTCAGCCATTGCCATAGACTTGAATTTGCTTTTGAGCTTCCAAAGCTGTCCCAGGAGAAGCCAGACTCACCCAGTTCCAGGTGAGCTCTTCCTGCTGCAGAACCTCACCTGCATGAGCCAGCGGGTGTATGCCGTATCTCCAGACCACATCTGAAAACGAGTGACACCAATGTGGTTCAACACCACATAATCCAGTCCCCCTGCAGATAGGAGAAAAAGCAGTCAAACAAAGGGGCCATCCCCGTACCAGTAACCAAAGAAACTCAGAAGTGCCAGCAGGAGGGCCGAACCAACCAGCCATGCCCTCAGAAGCCTAGAAAGTGGTATACCGTGAAGACACATGAAACATCTCCATCTGGGAGCAGCTTTTGCCTTTTCCTCAGGGGTAGAATTGGAAGGAAAGCTGTTCTTTGACAGCAGCTCTCCAACATGATATTTCAGGGTAATGCAAACTTGGAACTTTGTTTTGGTGGTACACTCTATTTTCAAAGTTATATAAATTTGTAACAGAAAAACTATGATTGATATGGGACTGTATCTGTGCAAAAGCATCAGCAGAAACAGCAGAAGATTTAAAAGAAAGGTGTGAATTGATGGCTGCTGGACTCGCAGGTCATGCAGATCACAGCACACTTACACACAGTTTCTTAAGACAACCACATCAGGAAAACCCAGAGTATAATGAAGTAATTAAGACACACAAATAATGGACAAAAGGATAGTAAGTATACTAGAAAATGCTGCCTCCTGGACTCAGGTAAATTACAGAAACCCACATCTTTCAATTCCAGGGTTACCAGAAACGAGACAAGATTGGCAGAGCCATAAGAGCTGGGATAAGAGCTGTGTCATCATGCTTATCTCTGATCAGTTGCATAAAACTCACATGCCAGTATGAAGCATGACATAGCTTGAGAACTATAATCTCTGAAAGGTGACTAGGCCAGGTTTGATCTAAACCTTTCTTGAAAAATGAAACATGGTATAAATTGGATTAAGAAGCAAACTTTGTTCTCTCTCCTCAGTATCTCATTTTTCTTCTGCTTACCCAGCTTTTGGACAGCAAACTGAACCACCTTTTCAGGCTCCGAAGGGGAAGACATATCTGCAGGGATATAAAATATTTTCTTTGCTCCCAGTGTCAGGCATTTCTCTACCACCTTGAAAAAGAACACACACACAAATTAAACAATATGGAATGGGAGGAAAAGAATAGACTTAAGGGTACTGTAAGGCATTGTTTTTCCCTGTACTACCATCAGTGAGTCAATTCAGGAAAGAGACACCCTAATTTTAAATTTTAAATCTACAACTATTCAGACCACAGAGAGCTCATTTTGCATCCAGACTTTGTTTAACCAGACAGTTAGAGATAGCTCAACAGGATGCAGATTCAATCTACCTGAGAAAAGGGTCAAGATTCACCTGAAAATTAGTCTTCTTCAGGAGAATTCCTCTGGAATAAGGGTTATGCTTTACATTAAGTTCTTCTTTTTGTTCCAAAAATATCTGGTAACGCTCTAGCAGTATTCATCTTTCATAGTTCCTTTGCTATGTTGCATACGTGAAGGTGCACAGTAATGATACGCATTTTAGTGATTTGCTGAAATAATGCTTTCCAGGCATTAGGAACTATCCTTATGCGCACTGTCCCCAACTCTCCTTTAGCAGCATTTCATAGTCAAGAACTTTCCTTGCAAGTCACCTATCCCCGCAGTTTAGGAGACCTTCTCTAAATACTGTCCCATTTTATAAACCACATGTAAAAGAGTCTCATCTATTTGAGCTGGTCAAAAATTATTTAACCTACAAAAAGGTTTGAGTCTTTAACATAACACCTACAAATAGAACTGTTTGTACTCTGAAAAGCTGGACGATATCACACAGGAATTGTAGTTCATAGAATCACAGAGTATCTTGAGTTGGAAGGGCCCCTTAAGCATCATTGGGTCCAACTCCCTGCTCCTTGCAGGACTACCTAAAGCTAAGTCATATGACTAAAAGCATTGTCCAGATGCTCCTTGAACTCTGACAAGCTTGATGCTTCTCCCGGAGGAGCCTGTCCCAGTGACTGACCACTCTCTCAGTGAAGAACCTTTTCCTAATGTCCAATCTGAACTTTCCCGACACAGCTTCATACCATTTGCTCTTGTAAATGTTCAGGTAGCAAAAAGTTCAGGCAGTGTATATCCATCTTCCTGTACAGGCCGAGCTCCCTTCTGGGCTACACCTCCTCAGTATGAGTGTTACTGCCTTCTCTTAAGAAAAACCAGGCACATTGCAGCAGGCACTGGTATATGGCAACACGAAGTAGTCCATCCAGGAGATCAGTTACAGAGAAGAACGGCACCAGACACTGCCAGAAAATCAGGCTTAAAACATGTCACTGGAATGTTCCATCTTTCTACATAAGTGGTAAGAATTTTGAAAGTAACTAAGCTGGTTTTGCTCAACAACAGTTCTGGAGGAAAATTTATCACGCTGACAATTCATTTGTTGTTTTTTTGGTAAAAGTCCAAATCTCTTATGTTTTCCATCATACAAGGAAGTTCTTACCTTCTGCAGCACAGCTTCCCTCCTGGCAGTCAAAACAACCTCAGCACCAAATCTGGCATAATGATATGCCATCTGCTCTCCAATCCCAGCACTGGCTCCAGTCAGGAGAACACGGACACCAAACAAGCTCTCTTATTTATGGGAAAAGAATAAAAGATAGAGAAGTGAAGGAAGCAGCAGAGGAGCTGCCCTTAACCACTGGCAGAGCTCTAAACTAGAAAGGTGTGTATTAAGTGCTCAAAAGTCTTCATGCTTCTGCAAAACTAGAAGAGGCAGGACTGACCTGAAGAAGCCATGAGGTTAGCAATACCTTCCAATGCTTGCTACACTGAAAATAATAAAAAATCATCTAATCTTTGAAGAATGAGCTATTTTTCTGTTCTGACAGGTGCTTACAGCAAAAAGGTTAGTCATCAGTTACCTTATGTCAAGCAGCCAGCCATACTGATCTGTTTTGGCCTGGCTAACAGGAAAGCTTGGCCAGTTCAACAAGCTCCAGTACATGGCAGTCAGCTTAGCCAGCTCCACAGCCCCAGGTTCATACTTCAGTCATGGAGCAGGAGGCTCAGTCTGACCCACTCAGACAGCAGCTGGCATGCTAGAAACCAAACATCCAAGACCTAATTCACCATTCCCATCCCTCCCCCCTAGCTCAGCATTCTTCCATGGAGTTGGATAATGGATAAAAGCGTGCAACCAGCATGATTGAGTTGCCATGGAACAAACCACAGGCCCAACTGTCCAAGAGGTGTGTTGGTTTACTGCATGTTTGTTGTGGACATTATGCTGAGGGGATAATGATATGATTATACAGGCTGGGTGTGTCACATGCCTTTTGCCTGGGTTCCTAGACAATTATCTTTCAAGGATGAAGTTGGTTTTTATACAAAAAGCTGTACAACTTAAACCAGTCTCTGGGCCTCCTGCCTTGTGCATATAATTTATTCTTTGCTATTAGTTTGGAGACATGTCAGCCCTCTTGTGCTGGGCACTGCACATCTATAGAGCTGGTTCTTGACCCCAAGAGTTTGCAATCAAAACAGAAAAAGAGAAAGGCAGTGACAAAGTACATATCATTTTTTTTCCCACAGAGGCAGCAGGATGCCTTGTAGGTGCTATTAAACCATTTGGTGTTTAAATGTTTAAAGTTTCTCTTTATTACTGGAAACGAAGCATGGCTTTGGGGCCACCAACTCGGGTAAGGCTATGGCCAAGAATGAGACCACCAGTCAGAGTCTGGAAATTCAACCTCTTCTCTTAGGTGACTTATATTCCAGTTTGGAATGACACCCCCCCACCCAGGTAAGCCTACCTGGGCTAAACGGGTCTTTCCAGAAGAAAGCTAGGAGCCCAGCTATGATCCCTGTAGCACAAAGCACTTTTCCAATTGGCTTCATATCCCTCCAAGTTATGAAGAACGAAGTGAAGTCCTGAAACAGAGGACTCCAGCCAAAATACTGTAATCTTCTTCCTCTGATGCTGGAAGCCAACCTGCAAGAGGCATGTAAAGTCCTGCATTTTTGTCCTGCATATTAGAGAGGTGCTGTGTAGAACTGAGACTCCACCTGAGAAGTCTCCCCACTGGGAGCCAAAGTCACCTTTGTCAAGAATGAAAGATAGAGAGGAGGGGATCCAAAAATGGCAGAAAACAGGTCTGGAAAAAGCTCAAAAAATCATCTCATCTATCTTTCTGCCTTGCTCAACTACTGTTTTCTCAGCCTTTCATTTGCTCCAGGACAGACCGTCTGGCCTTTGTTCCGTATTAAATGAAGTGCACTGGGGGAATTATTTTTAAAATGTCTGTCCCTAATGGAACACTCCACAGAAACTTGTGGAGTCAGCACCAATTCCTCATTTAAACCAAAACTTAAAAGTCCAATTTTACAGTAAAAGCCTTCTGCATTTCATATTGCTGCATTCTATTTCAGAATCTCACAGATATAATTGATGTAAAAATACATCACAACTGAAAAGCAAAATTAATTAAACAATTACCTATTTTCCAAAACAATATATTATCTGCAGCTGTCAACAAAAATTTTAAAAAGATATCAAATCATGCTGATTAACTATGTTTAGATGTACTTTTCCATGCTTTGGGAATTATACATGCCTGCCATATGTTAAATGGTGCACAAGGAAGGGCAAAAGGTGAGGTATTTATTTCTGTACTGCTCCTTCTTTAGAACTTGGGCTGCAAAAGGAAAATTCAAACTTTAAGTCAGTATCGAAACTTACTGATACTACTAGCATTCATTTGCCAAGCTGAGTGTCATTAGCCAGTACTATTCTCTATATTTTCGGAGCTTTTCTGTCTTCACAAATTCTTTAGTAGCCAGAAGCAGTTAGATACAGTGAATATAACAGGAATGAAAAAAAGAAATTCTGCAGTAGTTCCAGAAACTCTTCTGCAAAATTCACTTCAACGACTTCCACAGTTCTGCAAACATGTTTAAAACTAGCTTTTTTGGGGGGAACAACGTATCAGGATATGGCTAATACTTCGTGAGATAATGAAATTAACAGTTCTTACCCAGGGTAGAGATGATCATGGACAGAAGTCTTTGCAGGACTAGGGCCTGAAGAAAATAAAAGGGAAAAATGGGAACAAGTATGAACTTCAGTAGCTGGAAAGTTCTGAGACAATACAGTAGGTATTCTTGAAGTTGAGAAATCAGAAGGTAGATTTAGAACTCAAGGGTTTTAAGTTAAAATCATAATGTGATTTGACAACACATATTTTCTATTAATGGTTTCTATTTCTACTCCCCTATTACGAACAGGAGATCCAGGTCAGCTGAATGCCAGTAGTTCAGGCCATCTAACATTTTTTTAAAGGTACATGAACCAACAAATAAATATGCTCTGTTTTGAACCTGTCTGGATTTTCTTAGGATTAATAAAAAACTGAAACAGATGCTCACACTGAGAATTGTGATGGTTTCCAATCATGACAGATGCCTACAGCATGAGCTGGCTAAATTTTATGTAAGCTTGTACAAAGACTAAAAGGTTATTAGCATAATTAAAAAAAAAAAAAACAAAAACAAAACAAAACAAAAATAAAGAGACAAAGAGAATACATCTGATTTTAAGAAAAAGATCTTTCGCTGGCAGTTCCCACAGCACTCTGAACTCAGCCTCTATACAACACGATTTCTCCCTACTCTACATAATCTTACAGAACGTTTAATTCATTAAAGACTTATTATGCTGACAGCTGATAACATTAACCACAAAAAGCCGTACCTCAGGATAACCGGCGCTTCTTACGGCGCAGCCGAGGAAGGGAGCAGCACAGTTGACGGGATCCAGTCTCGTCAGGAGCCGCGGGGGCGAGCCCCCCCGCCGAGCCCCAAGATGCCGGCGACCGGCACGAGGCGGCACCGCGGGGACCCGCTGAGGGGGACGCTGCCACAGCGGGCGCTCGGGCCGGACCCCGCCCCGCCCTACCTGCGCGCGTGGCCGGCCCCACGGCACCGCGACGGGGCGGGCACCGGCCCGGCTCCCATGGCAACGGCC